AACATGGTATCAGAGCAGGTCCGGTCTGGGTTTGATTGTTCCTGGTTGTTTGTATGTGGGTTTAGCAAAAATGAGTTACCCGTCTGTGGTTTGGGCTGAGTTGGCTAAAAAAAGATTGAGATGCCACCGCCAGTTGTGTGGGCTAGCTATAAGAGATTGAGATGCTAGACCCGTTTGTCCAAATGCTAACTAGGCCAGGCTAGTTACCACTTGCGGGAGAGTGTTGGAGTTCCCACATTGAAAAATAAAGATGAGTATCATTTGCATATATTGAAGGGTGAAGCCCTACCTATCGGCTTAAGCTTTTGGGTTAGAATTGTGGATCCCGACTTTATATGCAAGTAGTTAATTTTACTCGATACTCTATCTGTTGTTCTCGGCCCGCCGGAATTTTAACAGTGCATGCCTTTTTTCAAAAAAAGATTTTTTTTTGTTAAATTTGTCATCAAAAAAGAAAAAAAACAGTGCGAAATGGAGGGAGCATATAGATCAAACCATACGAAGAAAAACAAGAAAAGAAAATCTGAGGTGAATTAATTACAGGGTTTAGGAATGGATTCATCGAGATCGGTGCGGACGCGGCGCTGCATGGTGACCGGAGCGAGAGGCGCCTCCGTGGACAGGGCGGAGTTGCGGTCGGCAGTTGCCATCTTCTCCATATGTCTTCAAAATCGGTGAGGGCGAATGGTAATTAATGAAGGGAACCAAGGGATGGATGTAAAGAGAAATATACTCCGGATTTGGGCGTTATATTAAATATGTGAAAAATACAGGGGTGGGATGGGAAATTGGTGGCAGGCATGCACACCGCCTCACTTGGCTGCTCTATTTTCGGCCACGTACGTACCAATATGTAACGTTTGACACGGTTCTATTCTCACATCACACCAAATATGCCACAAAATATGCACCGGTTTTTGACATGCTAAAATTTTAATCCCTAGTCCCTCCAAATTTTTATTCTCACTTCACATTTTTTTCATCAAGCTTTTTAAATTTCAAACACAAATTATGAAATAAATATATTAAATTATCATGTAAAATTAATCTTAATATGTTTATTTAGAGTCTTTGAGAAAGAGTTTTGAAATATTTTATTTATGTAATGTAGTCTGTATATGTGTATATGAATATTAATGGTCAATATTTTACATTAGAGATCATGAAATGTCAAACGATAACAAAATTTATGGACAAAGAAAGTAAAACTGTTTGTGCATCTGTTAGAAAAACTAGATCTTTGATGGAAATTTGGGAGGAAAATTAACGCTATCTATTAGTGTAACAATGACAGTATGAACTCATATTTTGATCTTAAAAAACTTAGGACTCCTATTTTCGTGTTTTCATAGTTTTTTATTTCTATCTCAGAAGTTGTCTCATTATTTTAGGTAAATTCTCGCTTTTTTATTTTTTATAAATAAATACCAAACTTAAATGTTTTTTAATGTTTTTTTATAAACAATACCAAAAGTTAAGTGTTTTCCCCAGTACACTCTTATTATTTTTTTCCAAAACGACACCCATTATTTTTATACTCCGTAACTCACTACAACTTTTTTGTACCACAATTTCTTTCTCTAGAGCTACTCTAATTTATTTTTCGATAATCCACTATTATATTTTCCACAATAGAAATTACAAACTTTGTGAATCATTATATTTTATATTTCCTTTATTTCCAAAAATCTATCATTTTCTAAAAGATCCGTTAAGTGATGGTCAGCTTCGTAACGGTGATCCAAAATAGGGTCATTTTTTTGTAACGGCTGGGAGGAGACATTCTATTCCTATTCCATTAATAATAATTATTATTAAAAAATGTATTTTTCTCATTTTACCTTTATTATAGTCATTTTAATGCATTAAATTTTTTATATTAGATAGCAAATTTTGAAATTTTTAAAAAATAGTTGCATAAGAAATTGAAAAACTCTATGGAATAAGGATATATAGTGAGGGAAAAAAGAGAAATAAAGAAGAAAAAAGAAAGTAAAAAGTGAAAATGCATAAGCTTTGTTAACATAAAACTATTATGGTCAAGATAAGAAAAATACGGGGTATATTTTATTAATAGTCATTAGCAAAATAATAAATGAAATGTCTTCTCCTAGTCTTTACAACAAAATGTAAGGACCCCTAATCTTCTTTTAAAAATAGAGAGACTTATGAATTATTTCAACAAATCCGCATCATCCTAAAGTAATTTTCTGTAATACACAGTATAGTATATGTTCACACATTTTATCCAACACTATCTCGCTTCTAGTTTTAATATTAATCTTTTTCTCTCTCTTTTCGATAACTTTTATTTATTTGTATGTTTTGTTAATTATTTGATAAAATAAAATATTTTCGGTATCTCTTGTTTTGTAGCACTTTTGAATGGATTATGTGAGAATTTCCCCTATTATCCACTAAATAAATTGGGCCTTAGCTTTCAATGACTTCACATTTGAGACCGGCCCAATTCCAAAGGGTTCTCGAATCTCGCTCATATCAACGCCCTTCCCGGAGAGGCACAATCTCCGATTCCGAAACCACTTTTTTGAGTCGGAAACCAGAGATCTATAATCCGCTAATGGCAACCGAGACGGCAGCTGAAACAGTCGATGCGCCGGCAGGTGCGGTGGTGGTGGACGCGCCGCCGTCCAAGCAGCCGCACAAGTTGGAGAGGAAATGGACTCTCTGGTTCGACAACCAGTCGAAGCCTAAGCAAGGCGCTGCCTGGGGCAGCTCTATGCGCAGAGTCTACACTTTCGACACCGTCGAAGAGTTCTGGTGGTATAACTCCTGGATCCTGAATCTCCTTCATTGTGTGATCCTATCAATCGTCTTCCAGTGATTTGTTTTAATAGTTGAACGTGATTTCGCATTTTCTGAATTTTTCTTATGCTGATGAACGTTTCTATGAAAATTGATAGTTTTAATCTTCAGCTTCTTATCGTAGTAATGTTTTTTCGGAGCTCTTTGCTCATTGAAATGTTAGATTCATCTATTTTCACTGCGTCAGGGGGATATAGTAAAGTGCTTCTGTTTCAAAATTGCTGATGATTAGTTGTGGTGGTAATTGCTTAAATGCTCAATTGCACACGTTTAAACAGGATTAGTGTGTTTTTTTACGCAGCTTGTACGAACAGATTTTCAAGCCCAGCGAGGTAACTGTAAATGCTGACTTTCATTTGTTCAAGGCTGGGATTGAACCTAAGTGGGAAGATCCTGAGTGTGCCAATGGAGGCAAGTGGACGATCGGCATCAACCAAAAGACACACCTGGACACCATGTGGCTTGAAACAGTAATTTATATATTATATGGAACTTTTTTCCTCCATATTCTTGTATTGTGGACAATCAGTGTTTTACAATTCTATTTTTGGTGTATAGTTGATGGCATTGATTGGCGAGAAATTTGATGAAGCCGAGGAGATATGTGGAGTGGTTGCCAGTGTGCGTCCGAGGCAGGACAGACTTGCTTTGTGGACCAAAAATGCAGCCAATGAAGCCGTTCAGGTTTGAGTGCTTGACAATTTAATCATTTAAAAAAGCCAGCGCCTACATATTGGTTTCTTTTCTGCTTTTGTTAGATCAGTGAGCTTGCATTACTGCAGTTGCACATCCCATATTCCATGAGAACATTATTTGAAAGATTGTTTTTGTGCTTTTGTTTTTGTGGGAAGGATTACAAAACAAAAGACTGTGTCCTTAAAAGTGCTGACATCATCTATAAGTGATTATGAAAAATCATCAATGAGATAAATGATGTGCACTTATGGTCCCCAAATAGTGAAAATTTGATGACCAAAATGATAACTAGAATGTATATATGGGGTCATTTACACTGTTTTTTCTTCGCATATAATATGCATTAAGATTTACTTGTGGTCTTAGGATTGGTTCATGAACAAAATAAAGTATTTTTGAAGGGTATATCATACATGTGGAAAAATGGAAAAGATTTTGGGCAATTGTCGGAAGCTTATGGAAGGTCATATAGGTGTGATTGTTGCATGCCAATTGTTTGTCGATACTAGATAGTATTGCAACCTCAATTTATTTTATAGATAGCATAAGCTAACTTAGAAATGACAGTCATAACCATTTCTTTTCGAATGGATTGTTGGACAATTTAGCCACTTAACCACATCCTTGACATGTCAAAGTACAAATATCTTTTTTTTCTCTTTTCTCTTTTCTTTTTCTTTATTTTCCTCCATGCAATGTGCATATTTTCTGGGCTATTATGCACCTATGTGTAACTCCTCAGACCTTTTAAAATTTGAATGTACTATCATTTGAAACATTTCTGGGTCACATACAAAATTTAATTGCAAGTCCAACTGAGAGAGAATCTTGCAATATGAGGTTTAATTAAATCAGTTTCTAATGACTACCTTTTTAAAGTTACCCATTCTCTGTGTTCTAATCCTTTTCCCCTTTTTGACATTGTCCCTTAACAGAGTTGACTAATGTTATTTGACTGCAGATGAGCATTGGGAGGAAATGGAAAGAGTTGCTTAATGTAACAGACAAGATAGCCTATAGCTTCCATGTAACTTCTTAACTATACACTAGAGCTTCATTCTTGCTTAGCTTCTCTAGTAAACCTTTTTCCTTATTCTTCCCTTTCTCATCATTGCAGGATGACTCTAAAAGTAGATCAACTAAAAGCCGTTATAATGTGTGAGACTTCAGCATCCTGTGAGAATACAATTGCATTACTGTCAAGTTAGGTACTGAAGAGAATGCACACTTGTAGCTTTCACTTTGTAACCATTTCTTGAGGTTTTGACTTGCAACCTGTTTATGTAAGCTGTTTTGTTCTCGTTTATGATTGCGGCCCTTTGAGCCTGGTTTACGGTTGTCAGTATGGTTAGCAGAACTACAAAACATTTTTTTTACGGCTTTCAAAGTGAAACATAAAATTCAACTTTTCTGAACTCTACCAGGCACTACTAATGGGTTATGGATATGGTTCTCTTGTTTAGGCATGGTTGTGTAAGCATCCTAAACAAACAGCCCCTGAAACTTAGTGGCCACCACCTTGATGACAACCATTGTCGCGACTATTGTCAACCAAAACTGCGAGTGTTGTTTACCACCCAATGTCCGATAATTACCAGCCATTGTGGCCAAACATTGTTGTCGACCAGCCGCCAGTGCACCACCAATCAGTCTCACAACATGTTGGTTTGTTTGAGTTTGACTTAAGTGTGTGTTTTCGAATGAACACTGTGTTGTTTCATAATGAACCTATTTTGGAATGAATATTATGTTATTTCAAAATAAACACCAACTGAGCAGGCTTTAGAATGAAAACTACAATAAAAAATGAATTTTTTGTTGATTCCAAATGAATACTCTTCATGTGTACCTAGCTTTATGTACACCCAATTCTCGAGTTACAAAATCTTTGATCAAAACAGTACTTTTGGATCTTAAATCAAAAACAAGCCGGAGTTAAATTTGACGGGTATAAGTGAATGTTGTTCTGATTTGACACAATAATGTTGTGAGAAATCTGTACTCTCTTTATCAGAATTTAATTGTATCTTTTTTTAACACACTCTAAATTTAAGAAATAAGAGCAAATCCATTTTTATGAATTTATAAAAACCCTGAAACTATGGTCTTTTATTGAGATGACCAATGTTTTTATTATCTTCAAGAACTATTTATGAAATTTACAATAATTTACTTACCACGTAATTACTATAATATTCCTGGTCTAATTTGCGATCTAATTCAATAAATTCCTCTAGTGTACTTCCACACATTTTGTCTAATTTTTGTGTGAAAATTAAATAGGTTTGTTTAAATTCGTGAGTACTTTATTTGAGATTACACTTCCCCTACAAAGTACAAACTTGAGTCTTGTTTTGGAAGAAAAAATCAGTCAAATTCAACTCACTTATTGCAGGGGCAATACACAACTAGTTCTAGTTGAGGTATTGGAAGGAAATGGGATGCTCTGAAAACTACGAGTACATAATATTACTGACTTGAGCTTTTAAATTTTTGAAGAAAATTAGACCAAAAAAATTTGTTGAAGGTACACTCTGAAAACTACTCCCTTCGTTCTCAAAAAGAGTTCCTACTTTGAAAAAATAGAAAAATAAGGAAGTGTTAAATTGTAGTTAACTTCCAATTTTACCCTTGATGTAATGAGTAAAAGTAAGATGTGGTGGGTAGATTATTAGAGAAAAAGTATGATGTGATAGGTAGGGTATGAAAAAGTAAGAGTAAAAGCAATTTTTTAATAGAAAGTGGAAGTGTTTTGTTGGAACTTGGAAGTGAAGAGAATCAAAGAGGAAGTGTTTTTGACTTTTTGAGAACGGAGAGAGTACATAATACTCCGGTATTACTATTTGGATGGTACACTTTGGAGTCTTTTGGTATTTTTGAGGATGCTCTTACTAAAATATGAGTTTTTTTTCCAAGGATGCAAAATAATTAAATTTACTCGTACATTTTAGAGGTACAAGCTTTATTTACGTTCTTTATTGTTTTCACTGCTCACTTGATAAAAATTACATAGTCATGTCATCTCTTGTTCGAAGAGCTTTTGATGCAGTTTTTAAATATGTAATTTTTAGTTTTTCTTTCCACCCAATTTTCAAATACATTGAATTAAAAATAATTTCAATCATTGTAAAACGACACAAATACTTTAAAATGGGACAGGGGAATAAAAAAGATGCATTTGACCAATGACCATATATGAACTTAGTGGTGGATTGTGAAACGATTGTAATTCTAAATGTGTACTCTAGGTGTCTATGTTTAGTCACGAATATTTTTTAAAACAATCGTTGAGATTTTTTTTTCATTTTAGGTGCTTTTAAAATAGTGGATAAGAATATTTTTATAAAGGTTGGGAAGGAACTATAAATCTATAATTGGTATTTTAAATAAGATGGAGGTAATATTTTGCGTAGCGTTACAACTACTGAAATATACTCCCTCCGTCGAAAATGTTCTTCACATTTGACTTTTCTTGGTCAAAGTTTGTTAACTTTGACTACGATTTGTAGAAAAAACACATTGTATTATAATGTAAATTTAATATCAATATATTCATAATGAAATGTAGTTTTCAAATATCGAATTTTCATAAAATATATCTGTGTATAAATATAGATATTAATGGTCAAAGTGCAATATTGAAGACCGTGAAAAGTCAAATAGGAAGAACATTTCCAGACGGAAGAAGTAGTTGCCAGAAATTAAAACAGTGTTCTGAGAAATAATGTTCCAAAACAATGAATCAAACAGTTCCTTAAGGAGTGAGTAGATGACTAATTAGAGCCGGTTATTTACTTAACATTAGAGCGGACAAGAATTGTCTTGATCAAAATCCGACACAAGGATACTGAATCAAGCAAAGGCCTTTTTTAATCGAACCCAAAGATGACCAAACTTAAAATGATCCATTAAAAATATGTCAAACTCAAATAGTCTGATCCGCTAAGATGAGCTTTTTTAAAATAAAAAAATTACACATTTAGGAGTATGAAATATTCATTGTGATAAAAATAATATAATAGCATTACTTTTTTTAATGTGGGAAAATACGCCACTAGGCTTTACGAAAATCAACATAGACGCCCCATGGGCACAGCTTAATTGGCAAAAGCAGTGGGTGAGCCTTGCTGACTACCTACACGCGGCTGGGGTACAAATCTTGGAGAAGTCCCTTTGGATTCATTTCCTTGTATGGTGAGACTAGATGAGACGAAAATCCTGTTGTCCCTGCCTAGTTGAGGCACATCTCTGATACGGGTACGACATCGGACATTATGGAGGAACACGAGACTACTACTACGGAGACATCTACGTCAAGCCGACCACGTCGAAATGCCGGGCCACCCAAACGATATGGGGATTATGTACTCTAAATTTATTTCGTTACTAGTTACATTATTTTCTTGTACTTAATTAGATTTTGTTAAGTGAGCGGATTATAAGCTCCTTCGAGGGTTTCTTTACGGTTCTTTACCTCGTCGCTTTTTTTTGAACCGTCAGGATAGATAACGTAGTTTAATTAGGTCGGGGAATCCTATCATCTATAAATAGGGACGTCACAAGCAATATCAGTCAAGAAGAAATATATTTTCCCCTAAACTCTTTCTCTCTCTAACTTTCTCTCTCTCTCTCTCCCTCACGTAACCTAGGCTACCGCTGCAACCTACGGTGGTCTCCAACTCGGTGACGCCTCGTGATTTATTTCCTACACAAACCCAAAGCAAAGGGCCCGTGAGGTGGGGGTTCCAACTTTTTATTCGTTTTGAAGATCAACATGGACATCTCGACTGGTCTAGCGGATGGGATTGTGGGTTTAGGTTTTGATGTTCGTGATCACACAATTAAGTGGGTTTATACTTTATATGACTAAAATTATGCCTCTTTGAGCTATTTATGGTGCTAGTGAAGCGGAAGCTTTGGCAGTTAAGGAGACTCTTTGTTGGATCAAGGGTAAAGGATGATATGGGCGAGTGGGTTGCTTCACCACTAGACATCATTGCTAATATTCTTGATTTCAAAAAAAAAAAAAAATTGGTTTTCTTATTCCTCTTTTTTGGTATGAAGTATATAAATATATATATTCAATTGAGTTTTTAAAGAAGTACATAAACATATCTATTCAATGAGTTTATGAACATATTTTTTTTTCAATTAAAGTATATAAACATATCCATTCAATTGAGTTTTTGATGGATACTACCTTGATGGGGTGTACATAAATTCGAAAGAGCTAGTTCGAGACAAGATTATTGTGTCAAACACAATATATTCTAAAGGGCTATTTTTTAAACTAGATCCTATATTTTAATGCTAACCTCCTCATCCTAAAATTTTCTTCTACGTTTATATTCACACAATCAAACTATTACATTCACATAATCCCGTCTCAGATTATTTATCCATTTTTGAATTTTTTTAAATTAAAATTGACAAACTTCGACCCCAAATTAAATAAAAATGATATTCCGTATTAGATATGGATATAAAAATAGTTTTATTAGATTTATTATTTAAAACATTTTCAAAATGTTATTTTATCTAATTACAAAATAATACTCCCTCCATTCTAAAATTGACTTCCCAATTTGACTTTCCAGTCAAACTTTTTAAACTTTGGCTGTATGTTACGGAAAAAACATATTGAATTTTGATATACATTTATTATCAATAAATTTATTTTAAAACATAGTTTTGAAATATATTGTTTTATAAAATATATTCATATAAAAATGGAGATATTAATGGTTAAAGTATCGCATTGGAGATCGTAAAAAGTCTAATAGAAAGTTAATTTTAAGACGGATGGAGTATATATATATATATATATATATATATATATATATATATATATATATATATAAAATTTAATTATAGGTTAATGATATTTTAATAATTTTCTTTACTTATTTAAAACAATTAATTTTTTAAAAGAATTATTTGAAACACATTATAATCTTTAATTAAAGAAGCGTCCAGGTCTAGTTACCCTTGTGCCCTGTACCCAAAGGTGCAATAGACTAAAAATAGACTAGAATTGGTCGGGATTTTTCAATGAAGAAAAATCCTCCAAAAATAAGTATATGTCACTAATTATATCAGACACACGGTATTCTTTAGTAAAAGGCGAAAGAATAGTTCGCTCTGTGTCTAACACGTGTCTGCTTGAGTTTCTTCGATGGTTCAACTTGCACGCTATATTGATTCCCATAATGTTGGGTGCATCTTGCTTTTCCGGTGTGGGAAAAAGAATTAAACATTTTTTCTTTCGAATGCTCATTAAACATTCAAACATCTATGGTTTCCATGATTTGGTCCTTCTTTGTTTTGAAGCATTAAGGAACGTTTTCAATGAAAATTAATGTTTTGGATTATTTCTTTAATGGTATACACTAATTTTAAATGGTTAGAGTGAA